CATGGGATGAGAGGAATGGTCCTCTCATGAATCAGTAATTGGTTAAAAGACAGGAAACAAAGGGTAGGGATAAATGGTCAGTTTTCAGAATGGAGAGAGGTAAATAATGGTGACTCCCAAGGATCTGTATTAGGACCTATGCTGTTCAACATATTTATAAATGATCTGGTAAAGGGAGGAACACTGAGTTGGCAAAGTTTGCAGATTATACAAAATTACTCAAAATAGTTAAATCCAAGGCAGATTGCAAAGAGTTACAAAGGGATCTCACAAAAACTGGGTGATTGGGCAAGAAAATGGCAGATGAAATACAATGTTGATAAATGCAAAGTAATGCACATTGGGAAACAATCTCAACTATACGTCTAACATGATGGATTCTAAATTAGCTGTTAACCCTCAAGAAAGATATTTTGGAGTCACCTTGGCGTCTCTGAAAACACCGTCACAATGTGCAGCAGCAGTCAAAAAAGCTAACAGAATATTATGAACCTTTAGGAAAGGGATAGATAATAAGACAGACAATATCATCATGTCACTATATAAATCCATTGTACGCCCACACCTTGAATACTGCGTGCTGTTCAGCTAAGAAAAGAGATGATGAAGGGGAGGCTATGACTGAGATCTCTAAAATCATGAATGGTGTGGAGAAAGTGAATAGGGAAGTATGCAGAGCTCTGTGTGGCTTGAAAGCTTGTCTCTCTCTCCCCAACATAAGTTGGTCCAATAAAAGATATTACCTCACCCACCTTGTCTCTCTGAAGAGTTACTTTTCTCCTTCACATATGTCATACACCCCATCACCCTAGGGGTGGGGTAAGGGTGTGTGGTAGCCCCACAGTTAATTCTATATGGCTGCCCTCAGCCTCAGGGCTGCATGGTCAAATGGCCAGCACCAATAGGACTCCCCTTGTCTTTGGGGAAGTTCAGCCTAATGGCCGGAGTCAGTAGGACTCCCCTTGGCTGCCGAGAAGTTCAGCCTAATGGCCAGAGTCAGTAGGACTCCGCTTGGCTGCACGGAAGCACAGCCAATCAGCCAGAGTCAGCAGGAGGGGGGTTTGGCCAGGTAGGAAGACGTGGGCCCTCCTTGCTCCACCAGGCCCCAGCCCAGAGCCCTGGTAGGGGCGAATGGGTTTGCCACTAAGTTGGCAGGGAATCCGCCTGCACCATGCCAACTGCTGCAGGAACATTGGCTAGTCCCTCCCTAGGCTACTTCCTACTGTGACTCCTGCAGTTGAAGTGGGAGTGTCTTCGGAGTCTCGGGGCTCTTTGGGTAATGACTGCAATCTCCCTTGGGTGTCTGCAGGTCCCTGGGTGCCTGCCTGGGCCTTGGTGTCTCCTGCTCTCGCGGTCCAGGATCCTGGCTGCTCCTCGGCTGGAGCCAGCAAGGTGCATCCTTCCTCCTCGGTGATCAGCCGAGACTGAGCTAGGCTGTTCCCTTTTATACTTGAGTGGCAGTTGGAACATGCCCAGCAGGGTTGAGGGGGCATGGCTTCCGCTGCTAAGAGTGCTGTCTTAATCCCTTCTGCTCCAGTGTAGGGCAAGTACACCTCATCGCAACATAACATAAGAACCAGAGGTCACCCAATGAAATTAATAGGTAAGTTTAAAACAAACATAAGGAAGTAATTCCTCATACAACACACAATCAAGCTATGGAACTTATTGCCAGGGGATGTTGTGAAGGTCAAATGTATAACTGAGTCCAAAAAAAGAATTAGCTACGTTCATGGAGGGTAGGTCCATCAATGGCTGTTAGCCAAGATGGTCGGGGACACAACCTTTGTTACTGGTCTCTCTAAACCTCAGACTGCCAGAAGCTGGGACTGGATGACAGGGGATAGATTACTTGATAATTGCCCTGTTCTATTAATTCCCTCTGAACCACCTAGCTTTGTCCACTGTCAGAAGACAGGATACTGGGCTAGATGGATCATTCAGTCTGACCCAGAATGGCCATTTTTATGTTCTAATTGGGCGGTGTCCTTTCTTTTGTGGTCTATAAATGTATCAGATAATCTTAACCTGTAGCTTTGATTCAGGCTAAAAAGTGATTCATATATTAAACCCTACAAAACATTACTTTTCATTTTCTGCAATGTATCATACACCAAGAAGAATAATCTTGTATGATATACAGAGGCTTTTGGTTTCTGTAATTTCAGGGGTTTTGGAAATATTAAGAAATAGATATACAATATTTCCCTGTGATCTAAATATTTCTTTAAATATTAAAGAGCAAAAGACAACTCTAGATAACTTTTAAAGCCAAATAGTGTTATCACAGATTGACCCCAACGCACTTATTCTTTATCATTTATTTAAGAGAGGCAGTGTTGTCTAGTGGATAGAGTGATGGACTGGGACTTAGGAGACCTGAGCTCTATTACCAGCACAGCCACTGGCCTTCTGGGTGACCTTTGGCAAGTCACTTCACTTCCTGAGCCTCAGTTTCCTCCTTCTGTAGGATAAGAAAGCTTACCTTTTTTGTGTAGCGCTTTGAAATCTACCAATGAAATACATTATATAAGAGCTAGGTATTATTATTAGTGCCATAATTTTGCATGGCCCTTTCCAGACAGAAAACACTTCAGAAATGTTGGCCTCATTGAGTTCAATAAGCCAGGATTTCAACTCACAGTCTCTGCTCCCAGGGCCGGCTCCAGGGTTTTTGCCGCCCCAAGCAGCCAAAAAAAAAAAAAAAAAAAAAGCCGCGATCGCGATCTGCGGCGGCAATTCGGCGGGAGGTCCTTCGCTCCCAGGCGGAGTGAGGGACCGTCCGCCGAATTGCCGCCGAATACCTGTACGTGCCGCCCCTCTCCAGAGCGGCCGCCCCAAGCACCTGCTTGACAAGCTGGTGCCTGGAGCCGGCCCTGTCTGCTCCAAACACTTTACAATATAAGGCCCTGATCCTCCACTTATGAACATCTGCAATTTTACACTTGTAAGTGGAATGAGGATGAATTCAATGAGAATGTGTCTAAGCCTACAGAAACCTTGATTCAGGAAAGCATCCTCATTAATGGTGTACTTAAACACATGTTTAAGTGGTGTTCTGAACTGGGGCCAAAACAAGCTCAGGAGAAAGGGAAGACCAGGGCTATGATCATAAGATAATGTGCTTGTTTTGGTTAGTTATGTATGCTTCTTGGTGAAGGTATTTTTATGTGTATTTTTAAAAACTAATTTCAGTGAGTTCTTTCTTAAAAATAAATGTCACAAATTCAAATTACAAAAATACTTTAAGTTTATTTCCAAATATAACAACAAACAGGTCACTCACACAGGTGCTCTCTACTTGTTTGCCAAATATACATGGACCGTACTTTAACCCTTGATCATGAATTGTCTAGGGCAAATGTTTTGAGTACAGATACTGCAGAATTTCAAAAGGTTACACCTGGTCATATTAACCAAGAAAATCACAGTAACAAGACCATAGTAATAGAAATAACCTATAGTCCCCTAAGGAGCCAGCTCTCTCCTGGATGTCTTTTGTCACATCATCTCAAGGTAATAAATAGTGAAATATTAAAATTTTCTGTTTAAAATGAAAATTCAATCTGATCAATGAATGGAACCAGGCAAATAAGTTATTACAGTGGGTGACATCTCATGTCTGCATAATGTCATTTTGACAAAAGCTTTCACCTTCCTTTAATTAATTAATTAATTAATTAATTTTGGCTGTCTGTGCATGGGTGAAAGTAAAAGACTGTTTATAATGAGTAAAAATTTATTTCTGTGGAAAAATTCTTTATCTATATGGAAGCTGCAAACATTTATACATGGAAATATTGAAATTTTACCCAGGTTAAATTTTCAAAAATTCAATATTTGCTGGAAAAGTGGCATCTTAAAGTACTGAGGTTGGTTTGGATGAGCATTTGAATGTTACTACTAGTGAAAGGTGCCAGAATGATATCAGTGTACTGAAGTCCTGTATCCATGATCTGCCAGTGGAAAAATACTGAGGCTATTAATAAGGATGCCAGTTGTGATGGTGGTTTTCGTAATGCGCTCATGTACTGTCAGTAACAATACTGACAAGTATCAGGGGGTAGCTGTGTTAGTCTGTATCTACAAAAACAACAAGGAGTCTGGTGGCACCTTAAAGACTTGCATCTGAAGAAGTGAGGTTTTTACCCACGAAAGCTTATGCCCAAATAAATCTGTTAGTCTTTAAGGTGCCACCAGACTCCTTGTTGTTTTAACAATACTGAGTCCACCAACTCATTTAACATAAGAACAGCCATACTGGGTCAGACCAAAGGTCCATCTAGCCTACTATCCTGTCTTCTGACAGTGGCCAATGCCAGGTGCCCCAGAGGGACTGAACAGAACAGATAATCAAGTGATCCATCCCCTTTTGCCCATTCCCAGCTTCTGGCAAACAGAGGCTAGGGACACCATTCCTGCTCATACTGGCTAATAGCCATTGATGGACCTATCCTCCATGAATTTATCTAGTTCTTTTTTGAACCCTGCTATAGTCTTGTCCTTGAACCCTGATACAGTCTGTGTAAATCCCACTCACCTTTCTCATCCATGTACTTCCACTAAAGTCAATGGTACTACTTGTATGGGTAAGTCAACAGGATTTGGTCAATATGGTAATGACCGTAGGTCTGTAATGACCTAGAGCTAGACTCAAACCAGTGACATACCAAAGAAAGGTTCCTATCCATTACCAATCCCCTGGATTATTTAGTCCTACTTCCCCTAATACCTCCTTCTATTTAACTCCTAAATGAAACATACACACAGGTCTCAGATATGGGTTTGCAATGGGCATTCTCCTAACTAGCGTACATATTTTTCCAGCTCTCTGCTTGACCTGCCTGTTAACTTAGATTTTTATACATTGAGGGTTCTAGCCTAGAATTTCAGTACAAAGGCATTCAACATTCACTTGATTGGAGACCCTCTTGGTATGTTTACACTGCAGCTGGGATAATGCCTCCTAGCCGAGATAAATAAATACATGCTAACTCAGCTCGAGCTAGCATGCTAAAAATAACTGCATGGATGTGGTAGTAAGGGTGGCAGCTTGGGCTAATCACCTGAGCTCAGATCCAGGGGGTCAGCCAGGCTTGGACGTAGGTGGCTAGTTCATGCCGCAATGTTCATACTCCTATTTTTAGCAACCTAGCGTCTTTTCCGTCTGGGCTGGGAGGCATACTCCTTGCAACAGCATAGACATACCCTCTGACAAGTACTTATTGTGGTCGTGGAGTCATGTAACTAACTCAGAAATCATTTAAAAATTTAACAGCCGATCTATTTTAAATTAAAAGTAGCTGGAGAGTTGCCATACCATCAGATTTCAGGCCTCCCACAGCTTATTTTACTTATAACTAGCTGTTAATTAAAAGATAATTTTCAAAGTATTGATTTCTTCAACCTAAAACAATAGATTGATGTACCTTATTATTTTTCCATCTTCTCATCTGCCCCGGGCACAACAGAATGATTAAAAGATAGGGCAGTTGTCAAAGCCCGGAAGCCTAATTTTAAAATACTTGATCAAACAGTGGGCCAAGTTCTGCTTTCACTTACACCAATGCAACTTGGCTATGTTACAGCGGAGTTACACAGAGGCAACAGAACAGAGGATGAAAGCCAATTGAATGCACATTTGAATGGTAGGGAGAGCTGACGAATTTTTTCTCCCCATTTTTCTCCAAATTTAGACAAAAAATGGGGAGAGGGGAAGTTATCAACTTTTCTCAAAACAATTTTTCATGTTTTTGTCAAAACCAGTATTTTGTTTTCAGTTTAAGGTATTCTGATTAAAAACTCATTTATCTCATGAAAACAGGTATTTTTGCATGAACATTTCCACTGCGTTGAAAAGCTATTTTCTGTTAAAAGAAAGCTGACAGACTTTTTTTTCCCAACCAGCTCTAATTATAGTTGTGCAGTTTCTAAAATGCTACGAAAATCCATAAACTGTTATGCAGGTGACATCACAGAAATTTAGACACATTTGATTACATTTTGATCCTGCACCCTTTTCATTCACAGACCACATAACTTGAAGTCAATGGATACTTTTTTGTATGACTGGACTGCAAAACTGGTGAACCCACTGGACAATGGAGGCATGATACATGAAAAAGCAGGTTTGAATAGGATCAGTATGAAGCTCTGGGATACTGCATTTTTAGAAATATTTTAATTGTATACAGCCTAAAAAAATAAAAATTCAAATCTGCTGTCCTGGGATTTCTGGATTCTTGTTTGTGTTAAGTGTTCTATAGAAATTAGGCCCCCACAACACTACAGAGCCTCACTTGCTCTGATATTCTTTCCTTCTGTGAGATTAATCCAGTCCCATAAGCTACTTTTATACATAGTCCTCTGTGGTTTAGTTGACATATGCTCTTTTCTTTCCAGCAAGTAGAAATGTTCTCTATCATAGGGTTCTTTGTTAGCAGTTTTGAAGCAAAGGCACCATGTGCTCAGTTTCCTTAGAATATATAATGATATTGTGTTATTTTAAGCTCCTGTAATGCATGCAATTAGAATTTTGAAACTTTAGGACTATGGCTTTCAGTCATTACTTTCTTTAGACTCATTCTCTCTTTCTTTCTTTCCTTTTCTTTTTTAATTTTTTTTGTGAGCTTTTGATATTCCCCAAAAAAGATCTGGGAACAAAGAATCTAATTCTCCCCAGTCATGTACCTAGTGGAGTCAATTACATCTGTACAAAGGGGTATAAAACATTACCAAACCCAAACAGAAGCACATTATAGATGGTTTAACTTCAGAAGATGCAAGACTGGGGATAATTAGGTCCTAAATCTTGTGTATGCCAGAATAAATGATAGTAGTGACATGTATTATCAGCCAAAGGGCATGAGATAACCCTATATGCTGAAAGCTGCAGGGACGACCTACTGATACATGAGTACCATGATACACCTCACCCCCTCAAAAAGAGCTGGTTTAAAATCTATTTGTAGCCTTTCATGCGACACTATCAAGAAGAGATTTTTATATTCTTTCCTACTTCCCCCAAAACGCAGTCAATCCTGAGTCTTACTTTGAGCAGTCCTAAAACAGATGACAGAGGAAAGCCTTTCTATTTGTTCTGATTCAAGATCATAAATCCTGGGAAGAAAAGCAAATGCTCTGTCTGTCAAATAAAAGCAACGGTGTTGATAACAATGCAACAATTTTACATATGACTGAGAGAGAGAGAAAAAAAACTGATTTGAGAGAATGAAAGTCGGGATCCAAAATTTCACTTACATGTTAGTATACATTAAAAAACTTTAATATTTCTTTTAGCATGACATTCTACCTAGCCAGAGGTAAGACCCAAGAAAGAAGAAGGGAAAAAGCAGCTCTGAGTCCCTATTATAATCAAAGGAAAGTGACAGCCAAGTTATGGTTAGTGAGACTGCAACATATCAACAGCTTTATCACACCAGAGGCACATTTTGACATAATAATGAATGGCTGAGAAAGAGTCACTTTTATCTAGGTCAGAAGAAGAGATCACAAAATGATGCAGAGGGTGCAGAAAATCTGTATGTGTGTGTGTGGGGGGGGGGGGCGGGGGAACAGCAGGAAAAAAGGGGAGTACATCAGCAAGATGTTAATACTCAACATCAGCAAGAGGATTGCAATCTGTAGAGAGAAACTCATTACATCTTGACATTGCCTAATGCTTGTCACCCAAATATATGGTAATTACTCTACTGTTATATTTCAATATAATAGCACAAAACTCTGATTCCAGCTCCTACAAACAAAACTAAGCACATTTCATGACAACTTCATTAGTAATGAAAAAAAAAAAAAAACAGATGGTAAAGGAAGCACATGTCTCTGACATCATCTATGGTTTGATTTACAAATCTGAAAACATTTACAGTATGTATGCATTTCAAAAAAACGCAGAGTAAGATAAATTAGGAGACTTTCAACATTGTCTTTTTTTAACATTGTCTTTTTCTTTAAAAAAAAGAACATTGTGAAAAGAAAAAAAAATATGGCTCAAGGAAAAACACAAGAGCAGCATGACAAAGATATTACCAAAAGCAAATATTCACCCCACAAAGGGTGTTTATTTCCAAATTGATGTGACATTTCAGTGCAGATTTAAAAAAACAAGGATCATATTTTAAAATAATCAGATGCTGGAAAGAAATTACTAAGATAAATTGTCATCCAAGCCTGGAGTAGGTGAGAGAAACCTCTTTGAAGTGACAACGCAAAGAGCAACCTTGACCAGCCATAAGATGTTGATGGCAAATCTAGTATACAGATGTAACTGATGTATGTATACTGATGAAACACAGGTCTGGAGATTTATCTGGGCTCTTCTAATCACTATATTCCTACCTGATATTAATATATTACCACTGATGATGATGACATCAAATGTTTGCATTGACAGGAACTCCTACACCTTTGCCACTGGAATTAGTGAGAGTTATGCACAATGGTCAGCTAAAAAGAAGAGAGACTTCATAGTGTGTTACAACAAACAAAGAAGGATGGAGGAGTCTTACTGAGAAAAGAGGAAGTTCCTTCAGCTTCTCTTAGCCAAGAGGAGCTGCACAGAGCAGCAGCATCAGTAGCGAGGACATTAGCAGCTTTGAAAATCCAGGGGCAGTTTAGTATGGTGGAGCAGTGTCAGAGTTTCACAGGATCCTTTAGAAATCTCCCAGCTAATATTTAACTGATAGATTTATGGGATTTTATGGATTTCTTGTGATGGTTTCCCTCTCCCGCCCATCCCCAAAGTTCATTTAGTGCTCACAGAAGGTGCCAGATTGATGGAACTGGAGACTGAAGTCTTCTCTTTATCTACAGAATAGTTACAGCAAGAACTCGTCCTCATAAAACCCTACCAAAGTGCTTCCGTTCTGACCTGGAACCATATCACATGTCATTCAGTTTCTATGCCTAGTCAGTCCTTGGCCTTTCTGCTGAGACTGCTAATAAGGAGCCAGATTTACCAGTACACCAACTCAAGTGATGAACAACAGATTTAAACCCCAGTTTTACTGAGTTTATGGCTACTTTGCCCCATTGGAGTAGCAAGTGGCCGGAATATACTGCAAACCTGATCCCAAGGCGCTGCCATTGTGAACTGGGCTGAGACCAGCAACTCATTTCATATAGGCCACCAAACAGCCATCAAACGGTAACTACTTTGGGCAACTACCCACTTGGGCTGGAGTCAAATTGTTCATCTGGAAGTGCAAGGCTCCATAATTTATTACCAATCCCTTGACCTATCCATTCCCCAGCTGGTAGATTTGTAAAGATTCACACAGCTTTATTTGAAAGGCAGCAAAAGTAGTTATAAGTGTTTGTTTTTAAAAATCCTGCTAGAACAAATATCTATTTTTTCAATAAATCTTTCTGCATGTAACAGACTGTACACACATTTTACAAGAATAAACAAACTCTCTAATTCTTATTCACACACTGAGGAGTTGGGGATCATTAGTGCAAACTACTGCTGACCTGCAGCATTTAAACTGTAAACTTTGGGTATCCTAAGTGGTCCATCAAGGTACAGCAGATGTCCTCAATCAGTCTAATTTCCTCAATAGGCATATTTTGTTCCCAGGCATGAATACTAGTTGGTGATATTTCACCTTCATAAGGAAGGTAGAAAAGATTGGTGGAGGTGGCAAACAATATTTGGTTTAAGCTAGCAGGAGACAGAGGAATACCAAGGAAAGCATAAATTGCTTCAGCTGTCTTCTGAGGAGAGCTCACAATATCTTCAAACTTGACCAGCTGATAATTTGACTGCAGGAGATCCCCATTTACTCGCAGCGCTGCTGCTGTGTTTGCTAGCCACAAATGGGACAGCACGGAAACTGCATTTGACCTAGAATCCAAGAGTTCTTCCCTCAGTGATTCATATTCAAAGGCATAGCCTGAATTTAAACCACACTTTTCTTTCCCGCCTTCCATTTTAAACAGCATAGCTAAGTGCTGTGGAACATTTTTCAAGGAGTAAAGGTTTGGCTTACTTTTATACAACATTGAGTAGATCCATGCCCGAGGATCCCTTACTACATACAATGCCCTCATTGAGGGACCTATGATTTCTTGAAAGAAAGGAAGCTTTAATGTCCAGCTCCCACTATTTAAACTAAGCACAGGACGTGCATTTGGATAATAGGCAAGGTGTCTCCTCAGTTCCCTAACGTATTCAGCATCTTTGTCTAATTTTCCTCTTGTTCTACTTCTTTGTTCTGACAAAGACTCTCTCTTTCTGGATCTTTTCTTTTTGTCCTTACTTATGGTAGAATGCTGAGCTAATTTACTTCTGCTGGCTTCATGTAAATGAATATTTTGTAAATGCAGTTTTGTGTCTTGGACTAGGGATTGGAGCCAGCCTCGGAGTAGACGGAAACGGCCACTTTGGATATCAGAAGCCTTCCATTCACATGCATCTACAAATGAGTCAATTTCAAATTCAGTTTCAGGAATATCAAGGTAAGTTGTAGGGATCCTGATGTATATGAAATCACTGCTGTTAAAAAAAAGTTGCTTTAAAATGTCTGCTCCAGAACTGGGAAGTGAGGTAATTACCACATCTGGCAAAACAACAGGGTTTCCTTCTAACTGTTTGGCTGTATTGCCTGTATCAGGGTCTACATTTATGATGTCACTGCTCCATTTTGCACAGATAGGCTGAGTGCAAGTGCTCCATACATCCAACAGTTCAATAAACCACAGTGTGATAACCAGTATTAGTATCCAGCGCAACAATTTGCTGAAGGAAATGTAAAACCGCCACTGAAAAGCCAGTATAACCAAACTAATGCCCAAAACTAATCCTGCTATTATATTCACTTTGAATCCAAATGGGAAAACTGTTCTATTATTTGTTATCTGTTCTCGTACAGCTTCAGTGCCTAGACCAAATTTGATAACTTTGTTTTGATCAGCTACCTTGGCAAAGCCACCAAATCCCAAATAATTGAACCTTGTCCTCATACTGTCATATTCAGTCACAATGGAGACAATATTTTCAGTGTTGTTGACATTTAGAAAAATTTGAAATCCATATTTGGAATCGTCTATGAACCTGCAGTTAGAAACATTAACATACGGTCCATAGAACACATATGCGATTCTTGTAACAGTGGTTTTCATAGGAAAAGTAACATTTATGAACTGAGTCCACCGCTTTTTGAACTCTGCTGCTTGCTCTGCCTCTTGTATCCTGGCAACAGGACTACTCCCATGATGATCAAACCAAAACATCTTATAGTGAGCATCCCACACATCCATCATGGCTCCACTATATTTGTTCATAAACTTATAGGGTATATATTTAAAATCAATGTCAAGATTATGAAAGAAGGCACTGACAGAGCTGAGGGGAGAGTCTTTCTCCTTCTCAATATGGTCTACTACTAGCAATGTCTGAGCATTTAGGAGTAGCAAAGTACGATACACGCTTTTCAGTTTCATTGCAGAAGAGTAGGCAGATGCTGCCTCACCACTCACAAACATCATCTCCCCATACTGAGAGGCTGTTATAATCTCTCCAGCTGAGTCTCCAACCTCATCACCAATCCACTTAAGCCACTGTGCACACTCCCCAAGTTGTCCCTCCCAAGGTTGATTACACTGACTTGTAGGAGATGGAGCAAACACCAGTACATTATTCAAGTGGCTGAACTTGGGTCCATATAGGGCCTCGGATACAAACACCTGTCCATTGGGGGCAAAAGTAAAGGAGTTCTGATCTGGATGTTCATGCCCTGGATTGAAACTCCTCCATCCATCAATCCAGGAATATGGCTGAAAGTGAACTATGTCATAGACTGCACGGCCACCAAGCTTTCCAGATTTAAAAGACACAAAGGTATTGGTCTGAGTATTTGGCAACCCAGCCCCATAAGTAACAACCCCCCAGTTAGGAAACACATGCATCTTAGCAGTGCCATAGTCAGGGGGAGGTTGAGGAGTTAGTTCTGCAGCATACCAGATGTATTCAGTGTGAAGTGTGCTCCACCTTTGTGCGGTGGATGGCACCATCGGGCCATCCTTGGGCCTGTGCTTTCTAATCTGTTGTGCCAGCCAATTGCCAGCTCCATTCTTCATTACAAACTTATCCAGGAAAACCAGCTGGCTTTCAGGGCCATAAAACCAGTTATAATTAGAATCTGCTATGCCCACAGTCCTCTGATAGCCTGGTAACAGTGTGGCATAATAAAACCAAAAGTGCATTTTCAGCCAATTGTTTTCTAGGTTATTAATACCAAAATGGCGCTGGGCCAGGAAAACATATTGGGTTACTGACTTAGCTGTGTAACTGCCATAAGCTACTCCTTCGTCCAAAGAACCATCTACGATGTGATTGAGCAGAAACATGGTTTTTTCCATCACATCAACTACAGCATGTTTCCAAATATTTGTCTGAGATTTTTTGTCCACCCCAGTAACCAGGGCGCCTGTGAGCAGTGCTAGCATATTAGTGGCTTGGTGGTTATGGAGAAGTTGCTTTCCCCATGAGCGGACTTTTGAATATTCGTACATTTCCTCACTCACAACCCATATCTTCTTTAGATATTTTTGTCTTCTGATGTTATCCAGTGAGCTATATAAGAAGTCAAAAGCAGTGGCAAAACCTGTTAAGGAGTGGCCAAGTGGCACTTCATCTCCATGAGCATTCTCAACCAGCCAGTCTTTGTAGCCAGCCATTCTGTCCATGTATTCTAGAACAAAATCAAAGGCAGCTTTATCTTCCGGGCATAGCAAACAATAAAAAGCTAAGGGAGGCAGATTGTTACCATAAATCTCATTCCACTTTGCAGCAAAATCAGCATGCTTGGGTGGAGGTAGGTAGTATGATGGGTTGGACAGCATAACTGTCACTGCACCTCTGATAGCTCTGAACAGATGTAAATGGCTTGTACGAGACTTTTGCCTCAGTGCTTGGATATCTTCAGCATCAAAATATAAGCTTGGATGAAGAACGGCTTTTTTCAGCTTCTGGTTGGCACTGAAATCTTGCAGTTTCTGTTTCTCATATTGATCCACATTTTCTGTGAAAGTCACCCAGTCAGAGTAATTGCTTACAGATTCTTCAAAAGTGGAGAGAGCAAACGTCGCTAACGCTAGGAATAAAATATGTACTGTAAACATAAGAGCCATGATCCATTAGGCAGTTCCTTCCCTTCAAGCATACATCTTTACAAAACACAGTGTTCAGATGTCAAATGTTGATCCAGCTAATATAACAGTGTACACTTAAGGCATTTTTGCTTAAAAACAAAAGAATAAAATAGACTCGCTGCTCAGCTTATCTGAAGTACAGTACTGAAAACAAAACAAAGGATTTCTGAAAAGTTGAACCACAGGTGCCTTGTCTGTACTTTGCACAGCTACAACGGTAAAGCATAACACATTAAACTAAAGGGAAGGTAAAGTCTCTACATTTTCCATGTGAAACACAGTCTGATTACATAAGTCAAGGGACTAAAAAACATAGTATCTTTTTTGCTGAAAAGCACTGGAAAAAGATCCCAAAACTTGAATTTAAAATAATTGAATTCACACAAAAATCTTTCCCCCTCACATTCTGATAAAATGCCATTCCTAGAGTAGGAAACAATTGCACTGATGATGAAATTTATTCAGAACATTGTTTTGTTTTTGCTGAAGTAGAAATGCTCAGTACTTTCTACAATAGACTCAGATGTTAATTTTACTCTCCCTAGCCTTCCTGTTCTCTCGTTTGTATAAAATTTTTTCTTCTTCATAGGCTTGAGAGAGTGAAAGTGGGGGAGAAAAACAATAACATTTCTCCATTAGCCTCTCTCTCTGGAAAAAATATATATAGTATTTCTAATTCCTGTTCATGTCTATTTGTGGAAGGTTTGTTTTGATGAATATTCATAAAATACACAATATGCTCTCATGTCGTCTTCTATTATCTTCATTTCATCTTCAACTAGTGAAATCCAACCTATGTCTCAATGGTTCCGATGATTCTACTCTTCCCATCACGAAGTAAAAGTAAAACACTTGAAAGGGGCGCAAAGCCAGTGTTTTTTAACCAAAAGTGCTATTTCTGTTTTCTGTTGGCTTTGCATATTTGATCCTTTCTGTGGAAACAGAAAAAAAAAAGGAAAAAAAGTTCTCTGATGTAGTATAGATCTCAAAATATATTCTACAAATATTTAAAATGCATCACAAAGAATTTTCAGGTTCTCATCTACAGAACAGTAAATATTAAGGCTATAAAGAAGCAATAAAAGAACAACCTTGTCAAAGTCTGCTCACTAAATTAGCTTCAGAATCAAAGTAGAATTAACTCATTACCCGAGTTTCTATTTTATTTTATTTTTACTTTTTCCAAGTTGTCTGAAACTGCAAGGCCTGAGAAATTATTTTATCTTTTTACATTAGCAGAGTTAATGCAACTGTAATACTCCGTTAGAAATAAAGAACAGGCTTCCCTTCCAAACAGTTCCAGTATGTGTCTGTGTATTCTCCTAATCATTTAAAAAAAAGTTAAGATATTAACATTTTCCCAAGTTTCTCAACCCTTTATTTCTACAGAACCTATATCATACAAGCACATATACTGGATGCCCTGCTTCTAAGGGTGAAGCCTATTTTTCCTTAAGGGAACATATATCAAAAGTTTGATATTACTCCATGTGCACTGTATACTCCAGGGGTAGGCAACCTATGGCACACGTGCCAAAGGCGGCACGCGAGCTGATTTTCAGTGGTACTCACACAGCCCGGGTCCTGGCCACCGGTCTGGGGGGCTCTTCATTTTAATTTTAATTGAAGCTTCATAAGCATTTAAAAACCTTATTTACTTTACATACAACAATAGTTTAGTTATATATTATAGACTTATAGAAAGAGACCTTCTAAAAACGTTAGAATGTATTACTGGCATGAAAATCCTTAAATTAGAGTGAATAAATGAAGACTCGGCACACCACTTCTGAAAGGTTGCCGACCCCTGGTATACTCCTTACCAGTGTGGCCACACAGTGTATATTTGACTGAAGCCATCAGAGGGCGCTATGAACCAATTCGTGCACAGCAAAATTTCTCCCTTTGCTTATGTTGGGTTTGGACAACTTAACAAGTTTCGGTTGCAAACTGTGCATATGTTAAACGCATCACTGATAGTCTCATCTGACCTCTCACGCTATTTCTGTGACAAAATCCTCCCCATCTCTCCTCTTTTTGCACTCATGCATGTTTTAAAATATAAGGCCATCAGCTTACCTTAGCAGCCTCTCTTGTCCATGCGGACAGAGCACCAGAGCTTGTGGCAGAAGAGCTGAGAAAAGTGTTGAAAAGAAAACAGCAGGCTGCAGTGTAGTTCTCTCGGGCGCCCTCGGCTCTTCTCCTTTCGGTTTGCTCTGAGAGCTCAACTTCAGACAGGATCAACTGAACTTCAGCAATTTGTCAGAAAGCTCTGCCCCGCAACAGGGCCAGGGGCCGCCCCCTTCATCAACGCGGGGACTGACTTCTGTTTGTTGTTAATACTTATCATTACAAGTGCCGGCAGATCTCTTTCTCTCCCTCCAATAGTGTTCAAACTGCTCCCCAGAAAGATCAAGCGGGGCGGGGGGCAGCCAGCGCTACAAAATAATCGCCGAGGGCGGGGAGGCGGTAGGGAGAAAACAAAACAGGACTCCCCAGAAGAGTTAGCTACACATGCGGCAGGCTGGGATGCCCTTTTGGCTGGGGGAGCAGTTCTAGCTGCTGCGGCGGGCGAGCCAGTGGCTGTCTCCAGAGCGGAGCCCCCTTTCTGCCTCGCAAGCCGATGGCACGGCCACCTCTGCGCCTCGCTGCGCAGCCCAGCAGCTGGGGCTGGGAGTCGAGAGGCAGCTGCGGAGAGGAGTGAGAAGGAGGCAGCGCGGCGGCGGCAGCAGCATTGCCAAGGCGGGCGGAGCTAAGCCGGCTAACAGCCCGGGGGCTGCCCTTGCTTTGCTTCTGCTCCAACTCCCCCGGCGGCCCGAATGAGCATGTGCGAAGGGTGGGTGCAGAGCACCTGCCTTTACCTTGCCCCGAGAGCCGCGGTCCAGCGGGAGGTAGGGGCGTGGGGAAGGAGGGAGAGGGATGCTGGGAGGATAAGGAGATGAGTGCGTGGAGGCGAGGGGCAGGTTGTGGTTGAATGGGAGGGCAGCGGGTCTGGAGGAAGGAGGGATGGGGTACGAATTGGGGACACTGGGGGTCTTAGGAGCATATCAGATGGTCAAGTTAGTAGACAGATAAACAGCTGTTACCTCCTGCTTGAAAGGAGCCTGCCTGAGACACGCAACCTCCTGGTTACCTGCCATAGGATCATAATTTTCAGTATAGATGCATAACTCCTTAAGTCAATGGCAAAACTCTAACTGTCTGCAGTGAAGCTAGGATTTAACTCTGTGACCTAGGGACCTATTGGTGCCAAGCTGGCAGAGGGCACAGGAGGTACAAGAGTTTTACATGGACCCACTGAGTCAGATACATGCATAATAATTCTCTAACTGGTAACATGTGAGGTCTTTACTGAAAGCCAGTAGCCCACTGGTCATCATAACCACTGTGAGAGGCATGTATGGATAATATTTAAGGAGTTATGTATCTATATCAGTGGTTCTCAACCAGGGGTACACAGAGGTCTTCCAGGGAATACATCAACTCATCTAGATATTTTCCTAGTTTTACAACAGACTACATAAAAAGCACTAGTGAAGTCAGTACAAAGTAAAATTTCATGCAAAGACTGGTTTATACTGCTGTATTTACCAGGGGTGGACAAACATTTTGGCCTGAGGGCCACATCAGGGTTGCGCAACTGTATGGAGGGCCGGGTAGGGAAGGCTGTGCCTCCCCAAATAGCCTGGCCCCTGCCCCCTATCCACGCCCTCCCACTTCCCGCTTCCTGACTGCCCCCCTCAGAACTCCCAACCCATCCAACTCCCCCTGCTCCTTGTCCCCTGACCACCCCCTCCTGGGACCCCTACCCACTATCCAACCCCCCTGCTCCCTGTCCTCTGACTGCCCCGACCCCTATCCACACCCCTGCCCCCTGATGGCCCCCCCAGGACTCCCACCCCATATCCAACCGCCCTCTGCTCCTCATCCCCTGACCACCCCCTCCTGGGACCCCCCACCCCTAACTGCCCCCCGGGATCCCACCCCCTTATCCAATCCCCCCACTACCTGTTCCCTGACTGCCCTCCCGACTCCTATCCACATCCCTGACCCCTGACAGGCCCCCCCCCCAGGACTCCCACTCCCAACCCTCCCTGTTCCCCATCCCCTGACAGCCCCCCCAGAGCCTCTGCCCCATCCAACTGCCCCCTCCTCCCTGACTGCCCCCCAGGACCCCCGCTCCCTTACCCAACCCCCCCGCTCCCCGCCCCCTTACCAGCAATAGGAGCTCGCAGCCGTGACACCCTGCCAGAGCCAGATGCGCTCCCCACGCTGCTCAGCGGGAGCGGCGGGCCAGAGCACGGCCCGTGTGGCGGCATGGCTTCGGGGGAGGGGGGAACAGCTGCGGAGGGGCCAGGGACTAGGATGTGGTCCGGGGGGCGTAGTTTGCCCATGTCTGGTAGATACTATACACTGAAATGTAAGTACACTATTTATATTCCAATGTATTTTTTAAATATAATTATATGGTAAAAATGAGAAAGTAAGCAATTTTTCAATAATAGTGTACTGTGATGCTTTTTTATGTCTGATTTTGTAAGCAAGTAGTTTTTAAGTGAGGTATAACTTGGGGGTATGCAAGACAAATTAGACTTCTAAAAAGGGATACAGTAGTCTGGAAAGATTGAGAGCCACTGATCTATACTGAAAATTAGGTTTTTATGGCAGGTAACCAGGAGCTGACATGTCTCAGACAGGTTCCTTTCAAACAGGAGATAACAGATGTTTATCTCTCTGTCTCGTCATGTGTGTGTTGGGCATTGTACGTCTCATATTGGATGCCTGTTTGCATACTGAGCCAAATGCAAATGGTGAGATTGTGAAATCTTCATGAGAGGAAATGTACAGGAAGAAACAAACAGCAGGAGAGGATCCTGTTTACAAATAAAGACAACGTACTGTTGGAGTACATCTGGGAATCAAGAGATACCCGCTGGCTCTTTCACCGAGGAGTCAAGCTGAACAGTGTACTTGTCTCATGAACAGCAGATCACAGCCATGCCTGGCTGCAAAATGCTGGAAGAACTTTGGGAGAGCCAAAGTACAGACAGTTTGATAAGAAGCAAGTGTGAGAATACTTACAAGGGGAGATAGATTCAATGTTTGTAATGGCTCAGCCATTCCCAATCCCTGTTTAGCCCTGAGTCTGTACTTGGTTACCTTGATTATCACTTCAAAAGTTTTTTTTCTCTTACTTAATTGGCCTCTCAGAGTTGGTAAGACAACTCCCACCTGTTCATGCTCTCTGTATGTGTGTATATATATCTCCTCGATATGTTTCACTCAATATGCATCCGAAGAAGTGGGTTGTAGCCCACGAAAGCTTATGCTCTAATAAATTTGTTAGTCTCTAAGGTGCCACAAGTACTCCTGTTCTTTTTGCGGATACAGACTAACACGGCTGCTACTCTGAAACCAGGATTATCAGCAAGTGCATATTCAGGAAACAGAACTTACCTGCTGCTGCAAAAATCACAGGTTTCTACCCCTTGCAATATCTACTTAGCAATAGTAGAGCTTATGTTTTCCAGCAAGTCAATAGAGGGCAATGTAATTACAAAGTGATATATTAGAGCATGTCATTTCAATACAGGACAGTAAACAAACTAGTATGTTACATACAATCTGCATACAAAAAATGTAGTTCTCCACAATACACTATTATTTTATAAATAATCTATTTTCTGATTTTTTTTAATCTGTGTTACTCATCAGTGATTTGGCCCTCTCACGATTTGGTGCATTATGAAACAAAGATAATTTGTTATTTAATTAGAAATAAAGAATGCAGCAATGTATGTGCTCGTGTTTTAATTCTTAATTTAAAACAGTTAACATTTTCATAGTATCTTACCTTTTATACCAGCGTTGTACAAATAGTGCAGGAATGAATTATGCATTAACAATAATGCTAAGCATAGTCAATGAGTTCACTTTTAATTTGATATTCTAATTTTAAATGTAATTAACTCGTTACACAGAAAAAGTGCTTTTTTCACAACCATAAAGGTCTAGAAATTGTGTTACCATTAAAATAAAAGCTTACATGTTGCAGAAATTAAGGAGGCACTAGAGAAGTACCTGTATACCACTAGGTATTGGATTAGTCTAACCCCTCTTTGTAACATTTTCTACAGTGAAGACCTATTTCTATGATGCACTGGAATGGCTCCTGGTCAGCGTTAGCTCTAGGGTCTTGTTCTTGAGTGCCTTACTGAAGTGGAAAACGCCTACCTACTCGTGGTCACTCATACAAAAATAAACCAATGAATACTATTCTGTGCCCAGCCTGGCTCCCAGTAAACTACTGTGGACCATTGGTAATAATAGAAATATAATCTGGCCCCCGATTTGGTCTGCAGTTTGCATTCTTGGTTAGGACATTAGGGTCCATGTTTATAACTGCCTGATTTAATAAAAAGCTGTTCCTTTGATTTTAAGTGCTCAACAGAGAAAAGAGAAGGAGTGAGATCTTTTGAAATGTTACTGATCACTGTATTTATATACTGTACCTCAGAGGGAAAGTGTTTTAATCAAATTGAGCATGAGTCACGACCTGTCCCAGGCATAGCCCTTTTCCTTCTTCATTTTTCCTTTTTTCCCCATGATATTTTAGTCAATACAGCTTTATGCTTGAATATTTCTTAAGCAATGCGTTTAAAAACAAAGCACTTAATTGCATAACCATCTAATCTTGAGAAGAATATATAATGCTACTTGGCCTGCATTCTGGAGAAAACGTTAAATGAAGTAAACTATTGTAGGGCTTTTGATTTTTGGTTTTAACCAATGTACACTGAAAAAAGTTGCAGATTTTACAAAAGAAAAGTACCCACTCAACACCGGAAATTGTTACTTGTATCTAAGGGCTTGTCTACACGAAACAGTATTGTGGACTATGGGGGTGTGATTTTTATAGTGCACTACTGTGTTGCCCATTATTTGGTCTGTGTAGACTCTGCTACTGCATGCTAAAGGTTCCCCAATGCACTTTAATATTGTGCTGTCTGAACCAGCACTACATTAAAGCGCACTAGGGAACATTACAAAGACATTACTCATTACATTATATACTACTATACTGTAGTGAGTAAAGTATATGATATACATAACTGATTACAGTATATATACACAAGAGAGCCCTGAAAAACTCCAATTTTGGACATCTACATAAAACTCAAAAATTGCAAAAAACAATTATGCACTTTTCAAAAATGCTCTGGAGTCATTCTAAGATGTAGGGTACACCCTCTGGACATGACTTTAAAAGAAAAAATGTCTGACTATGGGTGGCTTGTGTCCTCCTCTCAGAAATATCTACACAATGGTCAAAGATAGGCAGAAAGTTCTTTGTCTGTGAAGTTATAGAATAGCTGTCATATGATAGATTACTAATGGAGGAACATGAGCAGGGGCAGGTTTTGGCCCCATAGGAAGCAGGCATGAGCCATGGCCCTCCAAACCGCAGATGTTTTGAGAGCTACAGGTTAATCCCACAGATTGTGGAGCTTCCTTTCAAAGCTTGAGCTTGTAAATGAAAGCCCAAACCCTTTGGAATATTCCCAATATCCACTATCCCCCATACAATCACAGC